GGTAACCACCAATGGTTTTTAATGAACTCTTGCCACGTGGGCACCAAATGTAGATGTAATTCTAAGCAGTCATATTAAATAAGAAACGCAGAGCCAAATACAGAGTTAAAAGCCCAGAGATGGAGCAGTAGCCAAGAGCTAAGACCACCTTATCTTACCACTCGCTGCCATCCTTCCCCTGAGAGACCTTCTTCCTGTGTCCTGTCTATTGCCTTTCTGTTCTGCCTTCTCATTGACTGTAAACCCAACCACCTGACTTCCTCGTCACTGCCTCTCTATACAGACCTCCAGGTCTCTATGGTTGGTACTGAGATTAAAGGTCACCGCTCGACTGTGTCCTTGAACACACAGAGATTCTGCCTGTCATGTGATCATATTAAGGGTGTGTGCTACCACTACCAGACTTCTGCTAAATGGCTTGCTCTTAGCTCTGATCCCCAGGCAACTTTATTGACATACAAATAAAATCACATTTCAGCACAAATAAAATATCACCATACAGGATGATATTTTCTAGTTCCATCCATTTTCCTGCCCTGACAGGCTTTTTATTTTTATTTTTCAATTTTATGTGTATGGGTGTTTTGCCTGTAAGTATATCTGTGTATCACTTGCATGTCTGATGTCTCTGGAGGCCAGAAGAGGTCATCAAATGCCATGGAACTGGAGTTACAGATGGCTGGATCTGGGTGTTGGGAATTGAACTGGGTCCTTTGGAAGAGCAGCCAGTGCTCTTAACACTCAGCCATCTCTCCAGATCCCTTACATTAAAAAAAAAAAAAAAAAAAAAAACCACATTTATTTATTTATTTATTTATGGGGCACATGTCAGAGAGTAACTTGAGGGGGTCAGTTCTCTCCTTCCGCAGTGTGAATCCCAGGGATTACACTCATTTGTCAGGTTTCATAGCACGGGCCTTATCTCACTGAGCCCTCTCGTCTCCTCCCACCCTACAACCCCTTGCTATGTTAAAATCATTCACCTCCAACCTATTTAGGCCTTAGAATCTAAGGTATGCCATTTACAATTGAATACTATTTTTCTTTTAAACAAATCTAACAGCTCCTGATTTTTTTTTAGGTTTGTGTATGTGTATGACAGGGTGAAGAGGGGGCATATATGCACTTTTATTATTGTTTCTGTTTGTTTTTTCAATATAGGAGCTAAGTCTGTAGAACAAGCTAGTCTTAAACTTGCAATCCTCCTGCCTCAACTTCTTGAGTGCTGAAATTACAGGTGTGTGCCAGCATGCCTTGCTTTTGTACATTATATCACTTACATCTGATGTAATTCTTGATTTACTTAAATTTATGCCTGTTCTCTGTATATCTTATAGTGTTCTTTATTCCACTATGCTTTTTTCTTTTTCTTTTTTTTTTCCAGACAAGGTTTCTACTCACAGAGATCCACCTGCCTCTGACTCCCAAGTGCTGGGATTAAAGGCGCATGCCACCATATCTGACCTAACAATATAGTTTTATAATTTTTTTTTTTTTCCGAGACAGGGTTTCTCTGTGTAGCTTTTTGCCTTTCCTGGAATTCACTCTGTAGCCTAGACTGGCCTCGAACTCACAGAGATCAGCCTGCCTTGACCTCCGGAGTACTGGTATTAAAGGCGTGCACCACCACCACCACCACCACCTGGCTATAATTATTTCTTTATCTTACTGGCTAGGGGATATTTGTGGGGCCCAACCTCATGCCGCAAGATCTAAATATCAATATCAAAATCTAAATATCAAGAGGTTACTGGGTAGCCTGGTGGTAGTGGCGCACGTCTTTAATCCCAGCACTCGGGAGGCAGAGACAGGCCGATCTCTGTGAGTTCAATGCCAGCCTTGTCTACAGAGTGAGCTCCAGGACAGCTAGGGCTACACAGAGAAACTCTGTCTCGAAAAACCAAAAAAAAAAGAGGCTACTGGGAATACAATTGGGTCATGTGGGCAAAGTCTTACTGCTTTTTACTCTTTTTTTTTTTTTTGGGGTTTTTTGAGACAGGGTTTCTCTGTGTAGCTTTGCGCCTTTCCTGGAACTCACTTGGTAGCCCAGGCTGGCCTCGAACTCACAAAGATCCGCCTGGCTCTGCCTCCCGAGTGCTGGGATTAAAGGCGTGCGCCACCACCGCCCGGCTGCTTTTCACTCTTTTTAAAATTTATTTACTTATTTTTATGTGCATGGGTGTTTGCCTGCATATATATTTGTGCTCCATGTGCATGCAGTGCCTGTGGAAGCCAGAAGAGGGCATCAGATCCTTTGGAGCTGGAGTTTACAGAAGGTTAAAAGCTGCCACGTGGGCACCGGGAATCAAATTCTAGGTCCTCTGGAAGATCAGGCAGGGCTCTTAACACTGAGCCATCTCTCCAGCCCACCCCACCCCTGTCTATCCTGGAACTCACTCTGTAGACCAGGCTGGCCTCAAACTCCGAGATCTACCTGCCTCTGCCCTCCCAAGTGCTGGGATTAAAGGAGTACATCCCTACCTGCCAGCCCTGGCTCATCGTCATTCACCTTTACTTTTAAACGAACTTTATTTTTTTAGAGTACTTTTAGAGTTCTTGTATACTTCCCCATAGTTTTCCCTTATCAGTGTCTTACATTAGTGGGCTGGTGGATGGTTCCGTGGTTAAGAGCACTGCCTGATCTTCCAGAGGACTCAGTTCAATTCCCAGTATCCACATGGTCAAAACTGTGTACAACTCCAGTCCTAGGGGATCTGATGACCTCTTCTGTTCTCCATGGGCTCACATACATGTGTTCATACACACATACACACACACACACACACACACACACACACACACACACACACAAAGTTAAATCTTTGTATTGGCTAGTTTTATGTCAACTTGACACAAGCTAGAGTCATCAGAGAGGAGGTAGGGAACCTCAGTTGAGAAAATGCCTCCCTGAGATCCAACTGTAAGGCCAGGCGGATCTCTGTGAGTTCAAGGCCAGCCTGGTCTACAGAGTGAGTTCCAAGACAGCCAGGACTAAGCAGAGAAAGGGTGTCTCAAAAAAAAAAAAATCCAACAACAAAATGATCCAGCTGTAAGGCATTTTCTTATTTGGTGTATATTTGGGGAAGGGCCAAGTCTGTTGTGGGCGGGGTTATCCCTAGGCTGGTAGTCCTGAGTTTTATAAAAAAAAAAAAAAAAGCAGGCTGAGCAAGCCATGAGGAGCAAGTCAGTGAGCAGCACCCCTCCATGGCCTCTGCATCAGCTCCTGCCTCCAGGTTCCTGCCCTGTGTGAGTTCCTGTCCTGACTTCCTTCAATGATGGTCTATGATGCTGAAGTATAAGCCAAATAAACCCTTTCCTCTCCAACTTGATTTTGGTCATGGTGTTTCATCGCAGCAGTAGAAACCCTAATCCTAAGACAATCTTTGAATATATATCTCGCATAGTATGTACACTGGTTCTATTTAAGACGCCAAAGTTGAAGCCAGGTGCAGTTGCTCACACTTGTAGTTCAGTATTTAAGAGAGAAAGTCAAGAGGATCCAGAGTTCAAGGCCATTGTTGACTACACAGCAAGTTTGACCCCATCTCAAAGAACCAAAAAGACAAAGGAAAGAAGAAAGAAACCAACACTGGCATGTTATTAGTAACGAAATTGCATAATATAGTCAGACCTCCTGGTCCTCACCTACCATTCCTTTCTGTTTTGGATGTGAGCACCACACTACCTCTGTATCTGCTTAGCCTCCTCTTAGCTGCTAGAGTTTCTCAGACTTTTCCTTGTGCTCGATGTCTGGCCTTAGGAATTTTGAGAAACAATCAGGTACATGATAAGATGCTGCTCTGCTGAAATTTGCCCTGAGATGGCTGATTTGGGGAATAAAGAGCACCTAAGTAATGTGCCGTTTCATTCTATCATATCAAGGTTCAGTCAGAAGAATACCACACAAGCACTGAACGTGGATCCCCTGCATCCACATACAAACTTAGAGTGCAGCCAAGAACAGCCGTAGTCCCAGAGCTGGGGAAGTAGAGACAAGGTGGGTCCTGGAGGCTTGCTGGCCAGACTGTCACCAAGAAGATGAGCTTTGGGTTCAGGACAGACATCACCACTTCAAAAACTAAAGTACAGCTGGGCATGATGGCACACGCTGGGTTGTTGCTAATGTTTTCCTGCCTGGCCCACAGTCAGGACAAACTCTCTTACCTGCCAGTCCCACAGCCACTCAGACCCGACCAAGTAAACAAGGAGACTTACATTGGTTACAAACTGTATGGCCGTGGCAGGCTTCTTGCTAACTGTTCTTACAGCTTAAATTAATCCATTTCTATTAATCTATACCTTGCCACGTGGCTTGTGGCTTACCGGTACTTTACATCTTCCTTGTCCTGATGGCGGCTGGCAGTGTCTCCCTCACCCAGCTTCCTGATCTCTCAATTCTCCTCTCTGTTAGTCCCGCCTATACTTCCTGCCTGGCCACTGACCAATCAGTGATTTATTCATTGACCAATCAGCAACATATTTGACATACAGACCATCCCACAGCACCGGGTGGTGGGGGCGCAATACCTTTAATCCAGCACTCTGGAGGTAGAGGCAGGCAGATCTCTGTGAGTTTGAGGCCAACGAGGTCTACATTCCTAGTTCTAGGCCATTCAAGAGACCTTGCCTTAAAAAAATGTTATTACTTCCCCCCATTTCTTTTGGGGGAAGTAATCTTTGGAAGGAAGTCTATATACGCAGCCTGTGGGCAAGGAGAGCACAGCTGTTCTTGTAGAGAGGAGCATCTGCCTATTGTTTTCCATTGTTGTGATGGAGGTTTGTCTCTTCTCTCTCAAGTGTTAAGTTAGCCATTTTCTGTGCTAAAGTGAGACCGTGGATACCTCACCTTTGGCTAGTGATTGTAAAGTCCAATATTATTTAAACTTTTCTGATGAATGTTTATCCTATATCCTAAGTTCTTTAGGCTTAAGCATGGGCACAGCACAACATAAAAGAAGGAATGCAAGTCCATTGTTTTGTTTTTATGTTTTTTTTCCTAGTGACTAGAGGTACTCTCTGGAAAGCTTGGAAGGAACGAGTTGTAAAGCGGCCTGCCGCAGCCCACGCTTTAAGACCAGATCAGATGATTTTCGACCAGCTTGCATTAAATACGAAGGTTACAGAAATTCAAGACATGCTCCAGGAACTCATCAGCTCAGCCATGCTAAGCAAGCTGGAAAACAATGCCATTAAATACATATCAGCGACTATTCTGAACCTTTCCAAAGCCTTGAGTACGGTCAGTGACGAGCTGAAGCTTATGACCCTTCAAGTTACCAACGTGGGTGTGAGTGAAGAAAAAGAGACAGAAAAAGACTTCTTGCAGCGGGTCATCCAAGAACTCAGTAAAGAAAACGAAATGCTTCACCAGAAACTTAGAGATTCCGAAGAAAAGTGTGACCAACTTATCCGAATAAAAAATTTTCTAGGACGCCAGCTATTGGTCCCAACGACGCCGAGCTTGAGGATGTTGGCCGTAGGGTCTCCACAGGCACCTGTGAGCAAAGATGTCGATGCGGGGGAGATTGACAGTCTCCTAAACAAAGAGCTCGAGAAGATTATAGACGAGTCCCAAACGAAAGGTGTCAGAGCCACCGCAATAAAGTGGGACTCGAGTATGACATATGTCGCCCAAGGTGAAATGGCTACAGATGTGGCTCAGCAGCAAGCTGAAGAGAAGGCTGACCAGGATCAGAAAAAGCAGTACCCCCCAGTCCCACTGCCAGCCGAGACCTCGGACACAAACCTGGAGAAGGAGGAGAAGAAAGCCGTGGAGGTAGCGTCTAGTCAGTTCTCTGATCTACAAGCACTGGACATGAAGAGAAAAGACAGAAAATCCCTTTTAGAAGGCAAACCACAGGGCCAGGAGGTCAAAAGTGGAGCGAGTAGCCTGTGGGAACGATTCAAGAAGGGCAGATCGGAGCACTCACTTGGAAAAAGCCCAGCTTCATCAGAGGTTAAAATAGTACCCCCCGTTAAGCCAATGGACAAAGAATCCAAGACTGAAGTAGAACAAACCAAGGCAAGCCAGCCTGAGAGTACCCCAGAGCCACCCAAAATAGAAATGAAGGGGAAAAGACCCGTGCCAGGAAAAACTGAAGAAACGCCAGGCACCACAAAACAACAGCAAAGTAAATTACAACCCAGGACGCCTAAGCAGACTCCGGCAACCCCTGATGCCAGGAGTGAACAAAATACTCTAGAATCATTTCAAAAAGCCATATTGGCTTTCCTGCGAGAGAAAACGAACAACGTAGGAAGGGCCTTTGATCCAAAGAGTATACAGGAGGAGGAGAAATCGTTAGAAAGAGCAGACGTTGAAAAACTATATCTCATAAAGGCAAAAACGGAAGAGTATGTCCAAAAAGTGGCTGAAACCGTGACTAGAACCCTGAGGGCGTACAAAGAGGCGAGAAAAAAACAGCTGAGAGAGAAATTCAGCAGACAACAAAGGACGACGGCTGCTTTACCGCAGCCGTTTGCCAGGCAGGGCTTGGTCAGCACCAAGTCCGACCTCATCAGCTTCCTCTTAAGTGAGATGTCAGACCCAGTGATCAGGGCACTCACACAGACAATCATAGATGAGCTGGAGCTCGAGAAAGACGGTGTGACAGTCTCAGCAGCAGGCCAGGACCACAGGGACAAGAGGCGGGAGTGGCAGAGGTGGGAAGAGGAGACCTGGAAGGAAGAGCAAAGACTTCCGAAACAGGCCGGGCCACAGCACAGGGCCAGGGAGAAGGCAGCAGAGCTGGAAGAGTTGAGACCGGCGGCGGCGGCGGTGACACCCGACGTGAGCCGGGCTCAGGACCTGAGGGAGAGGGAGGACACCGACAAGGAGAAGCTGAAGGTGGTGAGAGATGCAGAAGAAGGCCTGAGGCCGAAAGGGAGCAAACCAAAGCTGCCGGGCAAGAGTGACTCAAAGTCTAAAGACCTATTCAAAACCTTCACCCAGAGCGCAATGGTCTTAACGCCCAGGTGGATGAAAAGCCTGAAACTCCAGACGAGCCAAGTACAGTTATTCCAAGTGGATCCGAGAGCCATGGAAAGCCCTGATGAGAAGCAGCCCTTCTCTCCCAGGACCCTCCTCGTTTCTGCCAAGCCCCTCCCAGTGCCCGTCCCTGAGCAGGCCCAGATAGTGGATTCTAAGATGTCTCCGATTTCAAGGGTGTCTTTCACCCCTGAGTGGGTACAGGTTTGGGGTGGTCCTCCTAGTCACGAACCCATGAAAGAAGTGCAGATCCCTCCTCCCACAGCAAAGCAGGAACAAGAGCTGGGGACTCAGCTGATGGCCCCTAGGATCCTTCAGCGGACAATGGCTCCAGGGGGGTCTTTCATATCAGAAATCCCCCAAACCGCTGAACAAGGACCAATATCTGGGGTCACAGTGACCCAAAGAGCAGTTCTACCTCTCCAGCAGATCCAAGGAAAAGACATTACTCTCACCTTGAAGCAGGCCCTGGATCAAGGCATTGCCCCCACCCCTGAGCCAGCCAAAGAACCAAGGATCACGCTAACCCCTCAGCAGGCCCAGGCCCTGGGCATCATTCTTACCCCTGAGCAAGCCAAAGCCCAGACAATCAGTCTGACCCCTCAACAGGCCCAGGCCCTAGCGCTCACTCTTACGCCTGAGCAGACCAAGGAACAGGAGATCAGTCTGACCCCTCCACAAGCCCAGGGACTGGGGATAACACTCACCTCTGAGCAGGCCCAGGCCCTGGGGCTCACTCTCACCCCTGAGCAGACCAAGGCACAGAGGGTCAGTCTGAGTCCTCAACAGGCCCAGGTCCTGGGAGTCTCTCTCACCCCTCAGCAGGCCCAGGCACAAAGGATTAATCTCACTCCTGAGCAGGCCCAGGCCCTGGGGATAGATATCACCCCTCAGCTGGTCCAAGCACAGACAAGCATTTTCACCTCTCAGCTGACCCAAGCACAGCAGATCACCATCACCCCAGAGGAGGCCAAGGACCTGGGAATTGCTCTCACCCCTCAGCAGGTCAAGGTTCAGGGGATCAGTCTGACCCCTGAGCAAGGCCGGGCTCTTGGGATGGCTCTTACCCCTGACCAGGCCCAAGCACAGGGGATTATTCTCACCCCTCAGCAGGCCCAGGCCCTGGGGCTCACTCTCACTCCTCAGCAGGTTAAGACCCAGAGGGTCTGTCTGAGTCCTGAGCAGGCCCAGGCCCTGGGGATAACAATCACCTCTGAGCAGGCCCAGGCCCTGGGGATAGCAATCACCCCTCAGCTGGCCCAAGCACAGCAGATCACCATCACCCCAGAGGAGGCTGAGGACCTGGGCATTGCTCTCACCCCTCAGCAGGTCAAGGTTCAGGGGATCAGTCTGACCCCTGAGCAAGGCTGGGCTCTTGGGATGGCTCTTACCCCTGACCAGGCCCAAGCACAGGGGATTATTCTCACTCCTCAGCAGGCCCAGGCCCTGGGACTCACTCTCACTCCTCAGCAGGTCAAGACTCAGAGGGTCTGTCTGAGTCCTGAGCAGGCCCAGGCCCTGGGGATAACAATCACCCCTGAGCAGGCCCAGGCCCTGGGGATAGATATCACCCCTCAGCTGGCCCAAACACAGCAGATCACCATCACCCCAGAGGAGGCCAAGAACCTAGGCATTGCTCTCACCCCTCAGCAGGTCAAGGTTCAGGGGATCAGTCTGACCCCTGAGCAAGGCCGAGCTCTTGGGATGGCTCTTACCCCTGAGCAAGCCCAAGCACAGGGGATTATTCTCACCCCTCAGCAGGCACAGGCCCTGGGACTCACTCTCACTCCTCAGCAGGTCAAGACTCAGAGGGTCTGTCTGAGTCCTGAGCAGGCCCAGGCCCTGGGGATAACAATCACCTCTGAGCAGGCCCAGGCCCTGGGGATAGCAATCACCCCTCAGCTGGCCCAAACACAGCAGATCACCATCACCCCAGAGGAGGCCAAGAACCTGGGTATTGCTCTCACCCCTCAGCAGGTCAAGGTTCAGGGGATCAGTCTGACCCCCGAGCAAGGCCGGGCACTTGGGATGGCTCTTACCCCTGAGCAGGCCCAAGCACAGGGGATTATTCTCACCCCTCAGCAGGCCCAGGCCCTGGGGCTCACTCTCACTCCTCAGCAGGTCAAGACCCAGAGGGTCTGTCTGAGTCCTGAGCAGGCCCAGGCCCTGGGGATAACAATCACCCCTGAGCAGGCCCAGGCCCTGGGGATAGATATCACCCCTCAGCTGGCCCAAGCACAGCAGATCACCATCACCCCAGAGGAGGCTGAGGACCTGGGCATTGCTCTCACCCCTCAGCAGGTCAAGGTTCAGGGGATCAGTCTGACCCCTGAGCAAGGCCGAGCTCTTGGGATGGCTCTTACCCCTGAGCAGGCCCAAGCACAGGGGATTATTCTCACCCCTCAGCAGGCCCAGGCCCTGGGGCTCACTCTCACTCCTCAGCAGGTCAAGACCCAGAGGGTCTGTCTGAGTCCTGAGCAGGCCCAGGCCCTGATGATAACAATCACCTCTGAGCAGGCCCAGGCCCTGGGGATAGCAATCACCCCTCAGCTGGCCCAAGCACAGACAAGCATTTTCACCCCTCAGCTGGCCCAAACACAGCAGATCACCATCACCTCAGAGGAGGCCGAGGACCTGGGCATTGCTCTCACCCCTCAGCAGGTCAAGGTTCAGGGGATCAGTCTGACCCCCCAGCAAGGCCAGGCTCTTGGGATGGCTCTTACCCCTGACCAGGCCAAAGCACAGGGGATTATTCTCACTCCTCAGCAGGCCCAGGCCCTGGGGCTCACTCTCACCCCTCAGCAGATCAAGACTCAGAGGGTCCGTTTGACCCCTGAGCGGGCCCAGGCCCTGGGGATAGCAATCACCTCTGAGCAGGCCCAGGCCCTGGGGATTACTCTCATTCCCAAACTAGCTCAACCACAGGAGATCAGCCTCAGTCCAGAGGAGGCCCAGGCCCTGGGGCTCACACTCACCCCACAGCAGGCCCAGATACAGAAGATCTTTCTCACCCCTAAGCAGGCCCAAGCTCTGGGCATCACTCTTACCCCTGAGCAGGCCAAGGCACTGAAGATTAGTCTGACCCCTCAGCAGGCCCAAGTCCTGGGGATCACTCTCACCCTTGAGCAGGCCAAGGCACACAGAATCAGTCTGACCACTGAGCAGGCCCAGGTCCTGGGGATCACACTCTCCCTCCAGCAGGCCCGGGCCCTGGGGATAGCTCCTACCCTTAAGCAGACAGCAGCCTCGGGAATCACTCTTACCCCTGAGCCAGGTAAGGAAAAAGAGGTCAGCCTGACCCGGGTGCAGGCCTTGGCCCTGGAGATCAGTCCCACCCCTGAGCAGACCCACACCTTGGGAATCTCTCTCAGTCCACAGCAGGCCCGGGACCTGGGACTCACTCTTACCTCTAGGCAAGCCAAGGTACAGAAGATATGTCTGACTCCTGAGCAGGCACAGGCCCTGGGAGTCACTTTTACCCCTGAGCAGGCCAAGGGATGGAGGATCAGTCTGACCCCTGAGCAGGCCCAGGCCCTGGGGATCACTCTCACCCCTGCGCAGGCCAAGGCACACAGAATCAGTGTGACCCCTGAGCAGGCAGAAGCCCTCGGGATTACTCTTACCCCTGGGCAGGCCCAGGCCCTGGGGATCCGTTTGACTCCTTCACGGTTCCAGACATGGGGTATTTCTTCTCCTAAGAAATTCCAGGATTTGGAAGCTCCATTAACCTATGAACAGGCAGCAGCACTAAGGGGCCGCCCTACTACAGAGCAAATTCAAACTCTGAAAGTCCCTATTACCCCTGAGTCTATGCAGACACCTAAACCAGCTGTTGCCTCTAAACAGACCCAGACAATTGAAATCCCACTAACTCCTCAACTGTCCCCAGCGTTTGGAATTCCACTTCTACAGGGACAGGGCAAAGCATTGGGCATGACTCTCATGCCAGGGCAGACCCAGGCATTCCAGCAAATCCGGGCATTGCAGCCTCCCCTCCCATCCAGGCAGGCCCGGTTGCTGGGCCAGTTTGGTCCAGGAGAGATACAAACACTAACATTCACTATTGCACTTGAGAAAGCCCAGAATTTGGGTGTCACTTTTACCCAGGAACAAACTCAGGCAGCATCTATCACCCTCACCTCTGAGCAGGTGGCAGCATTAGAAGACGCACTCACTGAAGAACTGGCCTGGACATGGGGGCTTTTAACCGCATCAGAAAAGCCGGCTGTGTTGGTCCCTCCCCCTGACAGACTGCTTCCTACATCTATTGCATTGCAGAAATTGAAGTCTTCTCCTCAAGCCCCATTTTCCCCTAGGACGAGCCTAGCAATGAGCTTTCTTCCTGACTCTGAGAAGCTTGAAGAAACATGCATCTCTCCCACCTACAGACAGATTCTAGCAGACAGAGGTCAAGTCACTCCCACACAGCTTCTAACACCAGAAGTCCCTTCCATTCCAGGGCTGCCCCTTGGTCACTGGCATTCCTTCAAACCTGGAGACACCGGGTCATCTCTAACGCCGGAAACTCACCTCACCCACAGAAGGCTGACACCACCTCTCATATCTGGAGTCCCACCGACCTCTGGAGAGATTCCAGGCCTCTTTGTTCCTGGAGGCTCTGCTGTCCCCTTCCAGCCTCCGGCCATCCATGACCAAGCTCCCTACATGCAGATCTACTCTGCGCCTGGACAGCCAAAGCCATCACTGATCATTCCTGAGCAAGGATTCTCTGTAAGAACTCCTGTCTCAGCAGAGGCTTTCCCAGTCCCTGGAAGACCTCAGAGAATTTCTCCCTCTTCAGCTTCTCAGAAAAAGCCAGTAACTGTTTCCCCTCCCAAACCTGAATCAATCAGAGCTCACCCGAGTGCTGCTCTGGGCTTTGAGGTCTCTCCGGCTCCCTTCCCTATGGAGAAGATCCAAATGTCTAAGTTTTCTGACATTTTAGAAGAAACGCGGGTACTCCAAGATTCTCCCGACATGAGATCACTTGGAATGTTTCAGCCTTATGTCACTAGTTCTAGGATCCCAGGATCAAAGTCCCATCACATTGGTGAGAGAGCCCCTTCCGCTCGGGGGAAATCTATAGCGTCACTGCCGTCTCTTACCACTCAGCTCTCCCAAGCATCACAGATCACACCTTCTGACAGGGGCCAAAGACCACGGCTCCCCCCAATAGACGAGCCCTGGATATTATCCCCAGTTCCTGGCACTGGGAAAGCCAGGAGGGTGGGGTCCCCCCTCACTGCCCAGCACCATGAAGACAGATACTTTGTTGATGTGGAGGCTCAAAGGAAGAACCTGGCTATATTAAATCACGCTGCACAAACTGCTGGACTCCCTTCACAGTACCACACAATTGCCAGGAATCTCATAATTGAATTACTTCATATGAATACAGTTCGGCTGGGGTATCTGTCCCGCAAGTATGTTGCCTATAGGCTGATCCAGCTTGCCAGGTGGGTATAATGATTATACACAACCACTTTCTGATACAGTCCTTGCGCTGACCACCGTCCTTCACTGCCTAGAATTTTCATGTTTGTCAGACCATGCACTCTAAATTGTTTAGTTTTTATTTTATGTGTATGGGCATTTCGTTTGCATGCCTATCTGTACTATGTGTGTGCCTGTGCTCAAAGAGGATGTTGGATCTCCTGAAACTGGACTTACAGTCAGTTGTGAGCTATGATGTGAGTGCTAGGAATCAAACCCGAGTTCTCTGGCAGAGCAGCAACTGCCCTTAACCGCTGAGCCACTGCTCCAGCCCCAGATCATACGCTGGAAATATCCTCTCATTAAGGATCTGCAGGATGGAGGTTTAAGGCCATAAAAGGAAGTCAGCTGTGGTGGTACATGCTTGTAATTCTACTGCTTGGGAGCTGAGGCAGAAGGAGTATGTACGTTGAGCATTCAGAGCTTAGAGTGTGTGTGTGTGTGTGTGTGTGCATGTGTGTTGCACGGGGAAGCCAGAGGAGACAGGAGGATTCCAGATGTCTTCCTCTTCGCCCTACACCTGTTCTCTCGAGGCTGCATCTCTCACGGAATCTTCACACCAGGCTGGCGGGGACGACCCGCTTCCCTGCCAGTACTCCACCGATACTGTGCCTGCCTGTCTTGTTTTACCTATTTATTCTGTTTTGTTTTTGAGATAAGATTCACCCTGAAGCCCACACTGACCTGAAACTCACTGTGTAGCCCAGGCTGGCCTCCAACTCTCAGACTTTTTGCCTCAGCCTCCAGGTGAGTAGGAGGACAGACATGGGCCGTCAGACTCTGCTCTGCGTGAGTTTTGAAGTGGGAAACGGCAGGCTATAGACAAGGTGTTACGATAACAACTTTATTGTTGGCCCTGATTTTTTTTTTTTTTTTTGGTTTTTCGAGACAGGGTTTCTCTGTGTAGCTTTGCGCCTTTCCTGGAACTCACTTGGTAGCCCAGGCTGGCCTCGAACTCACAGAGATCCGCCTGGCTCTGCCTCCCGAGTGCTGGGATTAAAGGCGTGCGCCACCACCGCCCGGCATTGTTGTTGTTGTTTTTAAAGACAGGGTTTCTCTGTGTAGTTTTGGTGCCTGTCCTGGATCTGGCTCTGTAGACCAGGCTGGCCTCGAACTCACAGAGATCTGCCTGCCTCTGCCTCCCGATTAAAGACATGTGCCACTGCCACCCAGTGGCCCTGATTTTTTTTTTTTTTAACATTTTTTCAGAAATTGGCCAGGCCTGGTAGGCTACATCTGCAATTACAACCACTTTAGAGGTAGAGGCAGGAGGCTCAGGAATTCAAGGGCAATTGTCAGCTACTTATTGAGTTCGAGGCCATCCTGGATGACATGAGTCTCTGTCTTTAAATTAATCAATCAATTAAGAGTTAGGGGTCTGGTTTGGTGGTGCACGCTCTGTAGGCCAGCCTGGTCTACAGAGCGAGATCCAGGACAGGCACCAAAACTACACAGAGAAACCCTGTCTCGGAAAACCAACCAACCAACCAACCTTTCTCAGTTTGTTTTTCTTGCACGTAAGTCTTTGGCTCACACCTCTGTGCTATGAGATCTGGGTGGTTTTTTTTTTTTTGTTTTTGTCTTTTGGTCTTTTTCTTGCCTAGTTACTTGATCACTATTTGTAAAATAATCTCTTTCCCTCTACTGAGGGAATTTAAATGTACGTCTATTATAAATTCTTTGAGTTTTCTGTTTGTTTGTTTTTGTTGTTGAGACAGGGTCTCCTGTAGTCTAGGACGGCATGCTGGCCTCAAACTCATGACAACCCTCTTGCCTTGGAGTCTTCAGTACTGGGAAACCAGCCACCTTGCCCGGATAGTCCTCTCACCTCCCAATATTAGAAAATAATTTTAAGCCAGGCAGGTGTGGCGCACGCCTTTAATCCCAGCACTTGGGAGGCAGAGCCTGGTGGATCTCTGTGAGTTCAAGGCCAGCCTAGTCTACAGAAATGTATAGCTTTTGTTCATTTTTTTTTAAATAAAAATGTATAGTTTTTGTTTGCACCACCAATCCACTCAGAAATTTATTCTTTTTTTTTTTTTTCCCCCTTGGTTTTTTGAGACAGGGTTTCTGTATGTAGCTTTGGTGCCTGTCTTGGATCTCACTCTGTAGACCAGGCTGGCCTCGAACTCACAGAGATCTGCCTGCCTTTGCCTCCCAAGTGCTGGGATTAAAGGCGTGCGCCACCACTGCCCGGCAGAAATTTATTCTTTTTTTTTTTTTTTTTTTTGGTTTTTCAAGACAGGGTTTCTCTGTGTAGCTTTGCGCCTTTTCTGGAACTCACTTGGTAGCCCAGGCTGGCCTCGAACTCACAGAGATCCGCCTGCCTCTGCTTCCCGAGTGCTGGGATTAAAGGCGCGCGCCACCACCGCCCGGCAGAAATTTATTCTTATATGAGAATTAGATAAAGACTTCATTAAACAAGTCTCCCACCCCTTCTCATACCTCCTAGTAACTCAGAATGAGAGCAGAATGGAAAGAAACAGAAGTCAGGTTTGCTCAGGTAGGTTTAGGAACTGTATGGATCTAATTCTTCATTTTTTTTTTTCAAGAAACAACATAATCAAACGATTAAGAGCCATCCAAAATACTGGGAAAGGATACGAGACTCAGAACCTCTTCACCATGCTGGACAGAATTGATCACTACCAGAAGAAGGTGATGTGGTTCTGGACTGAAAAGCAGAACCAGTTAGAGCAGAGGCGGAAACACTGTCTGTGGTCCATGATGCAGTTCTTCACCCAGGTAGCTCTGCTGTTCGCTCCTTCTCCCAGGGCAAGACAAAGAAAGAAGGGTAGTTTTGTTTTGTTTGAGACATGGTCTCTCTACTATGCAGCTCTGGCTGCCCCGGAACCCACTCTGTAGCCCAGGCTGGCCTCAAACTCATAGAGATCTGTCTTCCTCTACCTCCTGAGTGCCGGGATTAAAGGCGTGCTCAGTTCCAAGGAAATAAATTTTGACAATAATGTTTTCCTGGCTAGACCATGTGTATGAATTTCCTGGGGCTGTTGTAACAGATTATCAGAAATTTATAATGGAAATTATTAGTTTGCGGCCAGCCTGGTCTACATAGCTAATTCCAGGGCAGTCTTGGCTATAGGGTAAGTTCCTATCTTAGTGAACATCTGCCCCCTCAAGAACTGGCAACAACCAAAAGGATTCCTCTACCACCGCTGCAACAAGAAGTTTATGAAATTGGAGGTCCCGGGAAGAGATCTCTGTCCCATGCCTCTCTGCTGGTGTCGCAGCCATCAGCTGGTCTCCTTAGCTATGTAACTCTGCTTTCAGATGGCCAATGTGTCTGCTGTCCGCTTTCCTGACTCTGAAGACAAATGACAATGGACGTATTACACACCTAATTAGTCCAGGATGCTCTTGTTTTGAGATTCTTTTTTTTAATTAATTAATTAATTTTTAAAAATTACACTCATGATATTCATTAATTACACTCATGATATTAATTACATTTGTGGTATTCATTGATTACGTTCACAGTATTCATTCAATAATTATATTTATGATATTCATTAATTACATTAATTATATTGATTTATTACATTCATGACATTATATCCTGATACTACTGTCCATTTGTGGGGCTTTTCCATCACTCAAAACAGAGATTCTGTACTTAGGAAATAATTGCTCTATATCACTTTCTTCTCCATCTTGAGATAACGTCTAATCTTTCTGTCTCTATGAATTTGTATATTCTTTATATTTCATGTAATACAATGCTATAGTATTTGTCCTTTTTTTGAATGTAAAAACATTTTATGTACAACTGCAGGAGAAATAATACACAGATAGCTTGAACATAAAAACAGTTTATAATTCAAAAGTCCAGGGTTATTTTAAACAGTAACTTTAAGGCATGGTGGTCCGATAAAATACAGGAGGTTATTCCAATGTTTTTGTATCTGTTGAGATTTGCTTTGTGACCAAGCATGTGGTCAGTTTTCGAGAAGGTTCCATGGGGTGCTGAGAAGAAGGTTTATTTTTTGTTGTTGTTGTTTGTTTGTTTTTCGAGACAGAGTTTCTTTGTGTAGCTTTGCGCCTTTCCTGGGTCTCGCTCTGTAGACCAGGCTGGCCTCGAACTCACAAAGATCTGCCTGCCTCTGCCTTCTAAGTGCTGGAATTAAAGGCGTGTGCCACCACTGCCCAGCGATAAGAAGGTATATTCTTTTGTGTTAGGATGGAATGTTCTGTAGATATCTATTAAGTCCATTTGAGCCATAACAGATGTTAGGTCCTTTATTTCTCTGTTAAGTTTCAGTCTGGTAGATCTGTCTTTTGGTGAGAGTGGTGTGTTGAAATCTCCCACTACTAATGTGTGGGGTTTGATGTGCAATTTAAGCTTTAGTAATGTTTCTTTTACAAATGTGGTTGCCTTTGTATTTGGGGCACAAATGTTCAGAATTGAGACTTCATCTTGGTGGATTTTCCCTGTGATAAATATGTAATGTCCTTCCCGATCTCTTTTGATTGATTTTAGTTTGAAGTCTATTTTATTAGATATTAGTATAGCTACCCCAGCTTGCTTCTTAAGTCCTGTGGATTGAAAAGCCTTTTCCCAGCCTTGTACTCTGAGGTAGTATCTGTCTTTGAAGTTGAGGTGTGTTTCTTGTATGCAGCAGAAGAATGGATCTGTTTTCATATCCATTCTGTTAGCCTGTGTCTTTTCATAGGTGAGTTGAGACCATTGATATTGATGGATATTAATGACCAGTGATTGTTAATTCCTGTTATTTTTTTGGTGGTAGTGTTGTGCTTCTCTTCTTTGGTGTTTGTTGTTGTGGGATTATCTATTGCCTGAGTTTTCATGGGTGTGTTTAATTTCCTTAGGTTGGATTTCCCCTTTTAGGACTTTCTGTAGGGCTGGATTTGTGGATAGGTATTTGATAGACCCCAGACCCAGGGTACTACCTTCTCGAGGGGGCACCCCAAGAACCCAGACTCTGGTCCAGTTGATGCAACAGCACGAGGTTTTTATTGAAGAGACTGTACAGACGGGCAAACTCTGCTCCTAAGAGCAAGAGTCGCATCTTACTGCAGCACCATGGGGCTTTTAAAGGAAAAACCCACCAAAGCCATAAGATTACAATTCCCATACAATTTCGTTTCACAAGATCATGGTCTGATCACAGAGTGGGTACAGTCACATCCACATGTACGTTCTTCCTGAAACCTCAAGGGGATGGGGGGTATCAGGGCGGGAGTGGAGTTTACACAAAGGTCACAGAGGTCCTTCCTGGAACACTTGCAACTATCCCAGTCACAATTGAGCACATCTCTTAACAGAAATCTTTTTACATTGTTACATTGTTGCAGGGGTGATTGAATAGTGGCTGAGTCAGGTTGCCCTTGGAACTAGTTTTCTTTTTAGTTCCTTATTCTCCTGGGGCTTGGGGGGGTGTAAGCCTGATTAGGGTCTTTCAGTATTGTTTAAATCTACTTTTATTGTGGAATATTTTGTTTTCTCTGTCTATGGTGATTGAGAGTTTTGCTGGGTATAATAGTCTGGGTTGGCTTCTGTGGTCTCTTAGTGTCTGCATAACGTTTGTCCAGGACCTTCTAGCTTTCATAGTCTCTATTGAGAAGTCTGGTGTTATTCTGATGGGTCTGCCTTTATATGTTACTTGGTTTTTTTTTTCCTTTGCGGCTCTTAATATTTTTTCTTTGTTCTGTATGTTTAGTGTTTTGATTATTATGTGGCGAGGGGACTTTCTTTTTTGGATGCAGTCTATTTGGCATTCTGTAAGCTTCTTGGGTCTTCATAGGTATTTCTTTCTTTAGGTTGGGAAAGTTTTCTTCTATGATTTTGTTGAATATATTTTCTGTGCCTTTGAGTTGGTATTCTTCTCCTTCTATCCCTATTATTCTTAGGTTTGGTTTTTTCATGGTGTCCCAAATTTTCTGGACATTTTATGGTAAGACTTTTTTGGCTTTAGTGTAGCAAAATTACAGTTATGAAGTAGAAATGAAAATAGTTTTATGGTTGGGGGTGACCACAACATGAGGAACTGTATTAAAGAGTTACAGCATCAGGAAGGTTGAGAAAAACAGGGCTAGAGTCAGGGAAGTCAGAACCCAGGTGGTGAAGTGTGGCTGTCAAGGCGTAGAGAGGGAACAGTAAAGGGGGAAGGCGCTGGTCAGGGTGTGGAAGCAGACAGAGAGCAAGTTCAAGGTCAGGCTGAGCTACATACATAGAGTTTCAGGCCATAGTCTACGCTAACCCATCCTCCAAAAGGAATCATGGGTGTGGGCGCATGGCTTGGCTGCTCTGCTACCGTCTGGATTCAAAGCAGAACTTCCTAACATTTCCGGCTTTTCCTGATTCTCTTTTCACACCTCACTCTGTCCAAAAGGCTGAGAAATGATACTCTGCTTTCTTTTCCATATCTACTAACTTGTTTTTGTTGTTGGTTTTGCTTCTAGCTTGAAAGAGTGTTTAAACTAAATCTTAGCCAGCCTGTGCCCTTGCTCTCCGACTTTAAGCAGATACCTGATCTTCCCAAATTTCAACGGCCAGTCTTGGAGTTATTAATTGAAGACAAAAAACCCAACATTTTCAAAACATTGGGGTATGTAGTAGAACAATATTAAACTTTTGGTGATAAGTGGTACCCAGTGCTTTATTTTTCTAATTAAAAATATTTTAGTTCTACCAGAGGGCTTTCCTTTTCCCACAGTTATGATATGGTAGAAGAAGAGTGTGGATGTACTTATTTCCTTATCGAATTCAGCAAGGTTTATTGTTTTGTTTGAGACAAGGTCTCACTGTGTCCTCTTGGCTGACCTGGAATGCACAAAGATCCTCCTGCCTCTGCCTCCTTAGTGCTGGGATCAAAGCTATGTGCCATCATGCCTGGCTTAGCAAGGTTTATTTACATATATTTCTACTCAAATATTTAGCATTTAATTTTGAGTTCCTTTTTTAAAAAATGAAGCAAGATGGCTTAGCAGATAAGGGCATTCATTGGGCATGCCTCTGGGTCTAAGCTCAAGCACCAGGACCCACACAGAGGCAGAAGGAGACAACCAAGGCCGCCACCTTGTCCTCCCCCGCCCAACCCAGCACCTCTTTCTCTTAATAAAATAAAGGGTTTTTTGTTTGCTCATTTTTTTTTTAACACTGCTGGGCCAGAGAGATGGTTTAACCTTAGGTAAAGGCACAGGCTGCCAAGCCTAACCACGGAGCTTGATTCCTGGGACTCAGGGGAGAGAGAACTGGACTGTCTGCCCACCACCACCACGTGCATGCCGTGGCACATGTTCCCACAACATTTTAAAAAGCTGATTCCTCCTAAGAAACAGATTACTTAAAGAATATCTAGTAAACTTTCAAGCATTGACACGTTTCTTTGTACTTCCTTCTCCCCTTTTCTCTCTGTATTTCTCAGTCTCTCTGTCTTTTGTAAGAAGGCAAAAGCTTTGGGAGGAAAAGATACATGGTCTGTGTACTTTACGAGGCTAAGAAAGGAGCTTGAAAATGAATGACTAGTCATAAGGGTGTTTTTGGTAACTGCAGGGAAAATCCTGCTTTCCCCACGTCTCTGTCCAGTGGCTACAGCCAAGGCTCCCCGGTGCATGGGAGGGCAGTTCACGGGTACAGGGAAGAGGAGGGGGAGATATGTGTGTTTTGATTGCTGTGGAGCTCAGAGGAGCTTCATCCTTTGCCTAATGCCCTCTGACTCTATAGAGAGCAAGCTCAGATGGAGGCCATCTGGAATGCTGACCTGTCCACTTCAAGCTACCCGATAACGGAGAAGACATCTCTGAGTACGCTCTGGGCCCAGCTGGGTGGGTACCCAGATATTCCCAGACTGCTGGAGTTAGATATTCAGTCGACCTTCAGGAAATCTCTTGCTTCCATCCGGTCACAGTGAGTAAAGGTTTGGGTACTCTGGTAACTGGGTCTTGGGTCCTATCTTCTGTCTTCCTAACTTGACTTTCTTCTGCAGCAAAGGTTCCCCCCACACCGCCCCCGCCTCTGCCCTCGGCCCCTGCACATGCACATGTGGGCTTAGGTAGCTACAGCATGCATGCACACAGATTACGTGACCATGCAGCACACGGATTAGTAGGACATAAGGCCCTGGAATGACTAAGCATCTTGTCTAGCTACTAGACAGCGCATATGTGGTCCTGTAGCTGGGGGAGTGGCTAGGAATTCTAACATTTGGGAAGCGGAGGCAGGAGAATTTACATGAGTTCAACGCCAGTCTAGGCTCCATAGCAAGACCTTGGCTCAAGAAACAAAACAAAACAAAACAGAGTTGGGGATAGAATGCTTGCCCAGCATATGTGAGGCCCTGGATTCAACCCTCAGTACTGGGCGAGAAAACAGAGTCTATCATAGAAGGCTGGAGGTGTGTCTCAGCTGTGCCTGCTAGTGTGCCCTAGGCCTTGGGTTCCACTTACTGCACAGCGAAACAACAATAAATAATGTATACAATATAAAGACACGTATCCTAGCATATGCTCATTATCCCAGCCCTCAGCAGGCTGAAGTAGGGGATGAAAACTTTGAGGCCAGCTTTGGCTGCACAGTGAGAGCCTGTCTCAAAGGCAAACACGGAGGCTGGAGAAGGTTCAGCTGGTACAGTGCCTCCCACGCCAAGAGAACCCGAGTTCTGTGGGTATTCCCAGTGTCTGAGGAAGACTAATGCGGCCATTCACCTTTCACTAAAAGATCAAGATATGAGCGTCACAGAGTCCTGGTGAAAGAAACACCCAAAAATAGAACTTACCTGTCTAAAAAGGTGGATAATCGACATTGCTGTTCAATTGTTTTGACAAGAAACAAAGGGATTCCTCTTTCAAAACAAAAAACAGAACACAACCTAGTGTGGGTTCCTAGCACCCACGTGCAGAAGCTGGGCACAGCCCCGCATGTCTGTGACCCCAGCACTGGGAGGGAAGGAAGGTGAGACAGTCAGATCTGGGGAGACTTGGGCTCACCAGCCTGTGAGTTGCTGACCTCCAGGCTCAGTGAGAGACGCTGTATCAGATAAGGTGGCGAGTGATCAAGGAAGCCACCTGGTCACCCATCTCTGGCTCCACACGCACACATATCACACACACAAAAGATACTTTCAAAACTTTTAAAAAGGAAAACCAAATCCTATAGATGATTCTGTATGCACGTATATATGCAGAGAGAGAGTGCATATATGTGTTAGAGTGCACATATACATATAGAAAAGGAAATAACTAGAGATGATGGCACATTCCTGCAGTTTCGTTATTTGGGAGTAGAGGCAGTAGGATCAGTACTCAAGGCCATCCTCTGCTACAGAGTGAGTTCAAGGCCAACCAGTCTTGATTTTAGAATCCTCTAGGAAGTGGTTAGACTCATCCTCTGTATCTGTGTGTGAGGCATTGCCAGAAAGAATTCTCTGAGGACGAGAGACTCCTGGCAGCCCGCAGCCGGCAGCCGGCAGCCTTGGGAGACATCACTCCACTCACTGGGAGTCCCCACAGAGCACCTCAGCATTCCTTTACATCGGTTTTCTGGCTCATCACAGTGTGAGATCCAATATTCTGCCACGTCTTCCTGGCCCTGAGGGACTGAACCTTCTAGAACCGTGAGCTGAAGAATATTTGCTCTCCATATATTTTTTTCCTGTCAGGTATTTTGGTCACAGCCTCAGGAAGTAACTACTAAAACAATTAAAGTGGCGGGTGGTGGTGGTGGTGCACACCTTTAATCCCAGCACTCTGGAGGCAGAGCCAGGCGGATCTCTGTGAGTTCGAGGCCAGCCTGGTCTACAGAGTGAGTTCCAGGAAAGGCACCAAAGCTACACAGAGAAACCCTGTCTCGAAAAACAAACAAAACAAAACAAAACAAAGACTGTTTACAATTCATGTTCCAGGCTGTGATGACACAAGCTTTATAGGGATATGGAGCATGTACAAAGGGAAAGTACAGGACAGTGGTGACATGTCACATTGGCTTTTAGTGAAGAAGATGAAGGAGGTGGAGTAGGGGTTGGGGGAACACCTGGTTCTGGAATGTGGGTGGTTCTTGGTGGACTAACACTCAGACATTAGGACATTTGATTTCCGGTTGGTGGTGCTTTGGGGACAGGTTTATGAGTTTCTGGAGGAAGTATGTCACTGGGGATGGGCTCTGAGGGTTTATAGCCTGGCCCTACTTCCTGTCCTCACTCTGCTTTGTGCTTGTGGTAAAAGCTGCTATCGCTGGGCTTCCTGCTTCTGCCATGATTCCTGCCTCTTGCTTCCATGCTCCCTCCCGGGATGAACTCAGCCCTCTGGAACCATAAACACATCTTTTTATAAGTAAAGGCTTCCTTTTATAAGTTGTCTTAGCCATGGTATTTTATCACAGATATATTAAAGTAATAAATTCAGAAGAAACTGGTACCAGAGTGTGGGCTGCTGCTGTGAAGGACCTGAGTGTGTTTGTTTGGGTTTTTTGTTTTGTTTTGTTCATTTTGTTGTTTTGAGGAATGTGTAAGACTTTGGAACTTTGGACAAAAAAGCATTTTAACACTGTAAACACAGCTTAAGGGCCATTCTAGTAAGCCTTTGGGAGACAGTCATGCTGACAGCAATAAGGACTCTGGAGGTCCAGCTCAAGAGGATTTAGAGGGGAACAGTGTTGGTCACTGGGAACGAGGCCATTCCTGTAATATTTCCACAAGGAACCTAGGTATCTTCTGCTCTTGTCCTAAGAACTTGCCTGAGGCCAAATTAAAAAGCAAAGGACTAATTTCTTTGGCAAAGAAGGAACTTCACGACAGTATAGTGTTGAAACTGTGGCGTGGTTGTTGCTAACTTCCCTTGTGCCAGTCTGCACTGAAAAAGAGCAAGCAGAGGAGAAAGAGAAAGGAAAGGCAGTTTGGAGAGGAAAAGCTTAGGGTTAAAGCCCTGCAGCCAGGGCTTGTGTTAAAGAGGCCGTAATTGCTAAGGAGGTCAGCAGCATCAAGGAGATGTCCGCTCTGCCCTGGAACAAAGGGAAGGCATCAGCAGGGCAAGACCCCGCCTAGCTGAGCTTCCAGTGTATGAAAAAGAGCATCAGCAGCTTCTGCTCCCAGAAGGCAACTGGACCGAACAGCTGCTGCTAATGTGGTTCAAAGACTGAGGGTCCAACCCCAGCTGGAGGCTGAAGGTCGCCATGCTGTCCGTGTGTTGGCTCTAGAGACACAAAGATGGAAGGTCTAAGGGGTCGTGGACAAGTAGCAAACATGCATTCTTCTCCATTAGTTATTCTTTATTTTGAGACAGGGTCTCCGATCACCGCAAAACCCTAACAATAATCCTAGTTGTTTTAACTTTGCGGTCTGAGCTGGACCTGGTGGCACTCATCTGTAATCTAAGCTTTCAAGAGGCTGAGGGTCATGAGTTCCAGCAGTGGGGGAAGAGGGAAGGAGAGGGAAGAGAGACCAGTACAGCAGCACGTACCTGTGATTCTAGCTTTTGGTACAGTGGCTGTCAACCTTCCTAATGCTGTGACCTGTTCCTCCTGTTCTGGTGACCCCCCCAATCAAAGAATTATTTCGTTGCTACATCATAACTGTAATTTTGCTACTGTTATGAATTATAATGTAAATATCTGTGTTTTCCAATTGTCTTAGGTGACCCCCTGGGAAAGGGTCATTCAACCCCCAAAGGGGTCATGACCCACAGGTTGAGAACCACTGCTTGAGTTGGTGTAGGCAGGAAGATCAGGTGTTCAAGGCCAGTTTCAGCTACGTAGAGAGCTTGAGGCTGTACTGAGCAATGTAAGATCCTGTCTCAAGAAAACAAACAGAAATTCAGACGAAGGAGAAAGAGCAGATTGATTTCCGGCCTACAGTTCCTACCCCTGCCACGCCCCAGGCATCAGTCTCTTCAAACAGCGGTCTGACCTTTTGAAGTGCCTGTCATTTTTTTTTTTGGTCAATGTGCAGACATGATGTGGCAAGTGAAAGAAATTCCAGGGAAGATACCTGTGGCCGTGGGGTGATAAAGTAAGGGAGGAAGCCCTCCCCGGACCTGTCTTTGTTGAGCCTGCATCCCGAACTGAACTATGAACTCAGTGCTTCCCGGTTTTGGGTTTGGTTTGGTTTCTCTACTTAGATGGGTCTGGAAACTGGAGGAAACTATGGTTTGGGACCCCTCCCTCAGGCGGTCTAAGCTCTGGTAGACCTTATTAGGAAGCATGCTCTGGCTCATTTTAAATGATTGTTTTTACCCTCCCCCTGGCAGCAGGAAGACACAAAAGAAGGTAGCATCCTGTCCTGGCCCCCGGGAGCTTTATCTCTCACTGAGCCTCCAGCAGTTCCTCAGTTACAGCTCACGTTTCCCTCTCCCTGGCCCGGCGCCCGCTGGTTTCTGCTCTATTAAGTTGTGATTTTCCGTATCTGCCTTTCCATCTCTCCAACGCTGGCGACAGCAGCTTGCCCTGTGACCTCCTCATTTCTTTCTCAGATCTCTATCAGTCTTTTCAGCTTTTCAGGGTTTTACTTATTAGACGGGAGCGCTCACTTTTATTTTTTGTGTGTTGTGAGTTTTGAAACAGGGTCTTATTCAGAAGCCCAGGCTGTCCCGAAACTTGCTAACCTCCCAAGTATTGGAATAACAGGCATAAGCCTCCTTACCCAGCTTGCAGCGATCACTTATGCTCACACACACAGGCATGTGCACAAACTTTTCTGTTGCAAAGCACGCTCATAATGGGCACATTTTTAATGAAAAAAAAAAAAAACGCATCTTTATTGGGCCGGAATTATTGCCTCCATTGACTGTTGGCCACTGCCGACGACGCTGCAGTGGGGTGCTGGGAGAAATGCTCAATGAGCAATGGTCGTCCCTCAGATAAACCTCACTGGTTACACCATCACTGCACAACGCTGTTGAGAGGCTCTTAAAGCCGCTTCTGCTTCACTAAGCATAAATCTTGGACAGTTTTCTTTCTTTCTTTCTTTTTTTTTTTTTTTTTTGGTTTTTCGAGACAGGGTTTCTCTGTGTAGCTTTGCACCTTTTCCTGGAACTCACTTGGTAGCCCAGGCTGGCCTCGAACTCACAGAGATCCGCCTGGCTCTGCCTCCCGAGTGCTGGGATTAAAGGCATGCACCACCACCGCCCGGCCCTTGGACAGTTTTCTATGTTAATAAACATAGCAGATAAAGGCGCTTCCCACTAAAAGTGACTGCCTGTGTTCCAGTCCCCAGTCTCACATGGGGGACGGAGAGAACCATCTCTCAAAATCTGTCCTCTGGCCGCCAGGTGAGCACCACTGTGTGTTCTCTAAGTCAATACAATTTTTGGTTTTTTTGTTTGTTTGTTTGTTTTTTGGTTTTTCAAGACAGGGTTTCTCTGTGTAGCCCTGACTGTCCTGGAACTCACTCTGTAGACCAGGTTGACCTCGAACTCAGAGATCTACCAGTCTCTGCCTCCCAAGTGCTGGGATTAAAGGTGTGCGCCACTGCCATCTGGCTCATAATTTAAAAATTAAATATAAACACACATCATTATTTTATTGATTATATGACTTACATTGCATAGATATACTGTGAGTTGTTGAACCATTCTGATAGAAATTAAGGTATTTTCCAACATTACAAATTATTTCACACCAAATATTTGTGTGCATGTTTTGATATTTATACGATTGTTTCCCTGTGGTAATGTCATTAAAATAATAGTTTCTTTCTGATAGAAAATTTAGAAAATGGTGGCATGTCCATTCCCTGAAGTGATGACCACTGTCAAGGTTTTAGCCATGTTCTAGCTGTGGTATAGTAACATCTGCAGTAGATAACGAGCTAATATCAATCCCTGTTCCTCCTGGATGGGACCCTTCCTGTGGCAGTGACTTGAACAGCTACGGGTTGTGTCTTGGCTTCCCTGGTTTGCCTTAGGAGCTCAGCCCTTATTTCTCTGGCACACCACACACCTCTCTGCCTAGCCATGTGTTTAAGACCAGTTTGTCACAGGACTATCACTATAATATAATATAGTTGATTATCTTATCTCGTTTCCAGGTCTAAGAAGATTCCCAAGTGACTGCAGAGCTACAGACAAGCCTGTAACGAGCAAAGGCCTATTTTCTCTTTTCCATGGATATAAACTGATGTGTTTACTCTGCTTTCTGTGTTGCCTGTAGACCTTAAGAATGCTGTCTAAAGCTAGGCATCGTGGCATAAGCCTGTCATCTTAGTGCTTTAGAGGTAAAACAAGAGGGCCAGGAGTTCAAAGTCTTTCTCATCTATTTAGTAAGTTCAGGGCTAGCCAGGGTGCCTGAACCTGTGTCAAAAAAAAAAAAAAAAAAAAAAAAAGACCAGGAGTAGCTGGAGAGATGGCTCAGTGGTTAAGAGTTTGTTGCTCTTGAGGGACCCCCATTCAGTTGCTGGATCTTACCCGGTGCCTCATAAGTACCCATAAGTCCAGTTCCAGGGAATTCAGTGACTTCTGACCTCCACAGGCCCTAGGCATACACATGGTACACGTACATTCACCCAGGCAAAACACTCATATCCATATAAGAAAATAAATTTTAAAAAAATTAAAGGCTGAGGTGGATTTGGCTCAGTAGTGTATCACTCGCCTGGCCCAAAAAAAAAAAAAAAAATTGGAGCTGAGGTGCAGCCCAGTTGGCAGAGTGTTTGCTTAGCATGTACTAAGCCCTGGGCTCCATCCCCAGAAGCACAGAAATCAGGTATGGCACCGCCCTCCTGTAATCAGAATCAGTGGGCGGAGACAGCAGGCACCGCCCCCTGTAATCAGAATCAGTGGGCGGAGACAGCAGGCACCGCCCTCCTGTAATCAGAATCAGTGGGCGGAGACAGCAGGCACCGCCCTCCTGTAATCAGAATCAGTGGGCGGAGACAGCAGGCACCGCCCCCTGTAATCAGAATCAGTGGGCGGAGACAGCAGGCACCGCCCTCCTGTAATCAGAATCAGTGGGCGGGGACAGCAGGCACTGCCCTCCTGTAATCAGAATCAGTGGGCGGAGACAGCAGGCACCGCCCCCCTGTAATCAGCCTCAGTGGGCGGAGACAGCAGGCACCGCCCCCCTGTAATCAGCCTCAGTGGGCGGAGACAGCAGGCACCGCCCCCCTGTAATCAGCCTCAGTGGGCGGGGACAGGAGAGTCATTGGAAGTCTAGAGTTATCCTCTACATATCAAGTTCATGGCCAGCCTGTGCTACCTCAGAACCTGTCGAGAGATGGGGGCTGGAGCAACGGCTCAGTGGTTCAGAGTACTACTTGCTCTGTTTGCTGAGAACTATTCAGCTCTCAGCACTCACACAGTGGCTCACAACCACCTATAACTCCAGATCCCAATCTCCAGGGGATATGATGCCTTCTTCTGACTTCAGGCACTCATATGGTACACACAAACATACAGGCAAAACATCATAGAGCCAAGAATAAAATAAACACATATGAAAACGTAGAGACATAATTCCTGTTCCATATCACTGGAAACACAGCTTCACCAAACTCTGGGACAGGCTGAGCCAGGACAAGGACATTATTATGGGCCCCTGACATGACAATAGTCAGTGCCCCCAATCCATGCCCAGAATACAAGAAATCGGGCTGGGAGGTGACTCAGCGGGCAAGAGTGCTTCCTGGGAAAGCAAGAGGACCCGAGTTCAGATCCCCAGCAATCACGATTGGCGGGCATGGCTGTGAGTGATGCTATCCTCAGAGCCGGGGAGTGGGGTGGAGAAGGAAGATCCCAGGAGCTTGCTGAGAAGCCGTCCAGCTAGACAGTGAGTTTCAGGATCAACGAGAGACCCTGATTCCAAAAATAAGGCGGGGACAGACGGAGGAAAACACTGTACATCTCTCTTCTAGTTTTCACCCGTGTGCACACAGGCATGTGTACAGGCACACACATGTGCCCATACAATACACATGAGAAGGAAGAAAGAATGAGTCTTGAGAACTAAGGTGGCCCAGGACGACCAGGCTTCACACATGGAACTAGATTTGAGGGGACGTTTGGAGTTGAACCCTTTCCTGTTTACTACACTGGCAAAACAAAGACGTGCTTTGGAACAGGGTCAAGGGTACTCCTCGTTAGGAGGTACAGCCACATACGTGAGGTTCTCAAAGACCTGGGCCTCTATTCCTCCTACCTTTCTTCATCTGTTTCCCATCAAGAGAGCTGAGAACCTTGAGAGGAAATGACGTCACAGGTAGTAACTAGACCACTAGAAAGACAGCAAGCTGAATAACATGTTTAGATGACAAGCGTAAACAGAGCAAAAGCCATAGAAATACCCCAAAGAAATAAAGGAAAGTACTGGTAGTGGATCAGAAGCAATCATAAAGAACCAAGTAAGTGTGGGGTGGAGGTGCTCACCTGTAGACGTAATTCTGAACGGTTTTATTAAATAAGAAACACAGAGCCAAATGCAGAGTTAAAAAAGCCCAAGAGGTCAGACCAGCAGCCAAAAGCTAAGACCAAACCTCACTGTCACTGTCGTCCTTCCCCTCCGAGAGAGACCTACTTCCTGTGTGTCTTTTTATTGACTTTCTGTTCTGCCTTCTCATTGGTTGTAAACCCAACCACATGACCTCCTCATCACTGCCTGTCTATACAGACCTCCAGGTCTCCATGGTTGGTATTGAGATTAAAGGCGTGTGTCTCCATGCTGGCTGTATCCTTGAGCACACTGAGATCTGCCTGTCATGTGATCGTGATTAAGGGTGTGAGCTACCACTGCCAGACTTCTGCTAAATGGCTTGCTATTAGCTCTGACCCCCCAGGAAACTATATTTATTAACATACAAATAAAATCACATTTCAGCACAAATAAAATATCACCATACTCACCAGCCCCAGCTTTGGGAGACAGAGGCAGGAGGGTCCTGAGCACAAGGCTAGCCTCTGCTCAAAGCAAGTTCCTCCTCTCAAAACTACAAAAGAAGCCAGGTGGTGGCGGCGGCGGTGGCAGCGGTGTACTTAATCCCAGCACTCGGGAGACAGAACCAGGCAGATCTCTGTGAGTTTGAGGCCAGCCTGGTCTACAGAGCGAGATCCAGGACAGGCTTCCAAGCTAAGAGTAAAGAACATCAGTATAAAACTGTAAAGAGGGCTGGAGAGATAGCTCAGTGATAGACATTTGCTTAGCATGACCCCACACACAAAGAAGGCCTTACCTATATGAGATTCATTTTTTTAAGGTATTATCATATATATGTGATTTATTTTTATTTTATGTTCATTGGTGTTTTGCCTGCCTGGTGTTTTGTCTGTGTGAGTGTGTCAGAAGCCTTGAAACTGGAGTTATAGGCAGATGATGTGAGCTGCCATGTAGGTGCTGGGAATTGAACTCAGTACTCTGAAAGAGCAGCCAATGCTCTTAACCACTGAGCCATCTCTCCAGCCCCCTATATGAGATTCCTAAAAGGATAGAACTCGTTAAAATGAAGGAAGTAAAATGCAAACCCAAAGAAACATAAACCCAAACTGACTTTGAGGCAAAAGATACTGCTGGGTGAAAGGGAGGTAGTAGATCAAAAATCTGTGGACACCTATCACAATACAATCACCGTGAAAAGCGGTGGAGAGATGGCGCAGCGGTTAAGAGCACTGGCTGCTCTTCCAGAGGTCCTGAGTTCAATTCCCAGCACCCACATGGTGGCTCACAACCACCTGTAATGAGATCTGGCGCTCTCTTCTGGCCTCCAGGCATACACGCAGAGCAAACAGAGCAAACACAGTATACATAATAAATAAATCTTAAAAAAGAAAAGCAAAGACGGAATTATGTGTGTGCATGCGCGCGCGGGTGCCCACAGAGGCCAGAGGAGCTGGAGTTCCAGGTAGCTGACATGGAGGCTGGCCCAGCTGCCATCCTCTGGAAGAGCTGTACATGGCCCTTACCACTGAGCCGCCTCTCCAGCCTGGCTCCAATTTTCTTCCCTGTTCTCTTCCCTCTAGGCATTCCTCATACCTTGCACAAACAAGATGACCTTTCCACAGTGTCTCAGATGCTCTACTCTCCCGCTGTAGCCCAGCTCGAATTCCAAGGACGATGATTATAACCCGCTTTTCTCTGGCTTTGATCTGCACTTTGGCCGAGCACAGCCCGGCTTAAACACAGTTTTCTCTACCTCCCGCAGGCCTGCTCCCTGAGAGCTGGACCCGGCTTCAGGAAAACGTTTGGACTGGCTATCTGGTCTCAGCTGAAAGAATCATTAACCGCTCGGGGCCCCAGAAAACTGCCTGGCAAACACCCCATTTCTCTAAAACTCCGGTTTTCCTGAGCAATTCGGTGCTGTCTCCTGTTTCCCAAATCACCGAGACTGTCTCCACCTTCACCTAATTAACCGGCTCCTTATTGCATGGGAAGCCCCTTAGCTCTTCTGACTTCCAGACTCTGAGTTCACGGACTCCACTCCTCCCTCTTTACCGGTGGGAAGTTGTCTGACTTAGGATCCCAGGCTCTGGGCTTACCGTCAGCTCTGACCTCCTCTTCCCTGTCTCTCCACCCACCACTTCCCACTGTTCCCAGACTCAACTGCATGTGTTTACTTTGAAACATAGTCTCATGTAGCCCAGGCTGGGCCCCAACTCACTATGTGGCCGACCCGCCTCCACCTCCCAAGTGCTAGGATTAGACGCGCTTACCGCCACATTCAGCTTCCCTCTTAACTTTAAAAAGAATGCTAAGCAGGGGCTGGAGGGATGGCTCAGTGGTTAGCAGCGATGGCTGCAGGAGCGTCGGACCTACGTTTGGCTCCCAGCATTCAACTTGGGAGGCCCACGACTGCCTGTAACTCCAGCTCTGACACCCTTGTCTGGCCTCTGCAGGCACCCATACACACACTTGTGCATGCACACAAGCGCATGCACACGTACCCTTTGGGAGCCAGTTGCTTACAAATAGTAGCCATGCGGCTTCATTGCGACCTTAATTCACAAAAGGGAAGCTTCTCCTCTTCTTTTGTCAGATCTTGCCAAAGACTGGACATGCTTTGCCAGATTCTCTGGGCTGCTTTGTCTAAGTTATTTGATGCTCCTTACAAGTGACATGGCTTTCTCCCTTCCTCTTTTGTGTCTTCCTCTCTAGGGCAGAGTTTTGCTTTTAAACTGCAATAAAATTGTCCTCTGGCTTTAAGAAAGGAAGAAAAGGGGAGAGAGAGAGAGAGAGAAGGAGGAAGAGGAGGAAGAGGAGAAGGAGGGAAGGAAGAAAGGAAGAAAAGAAGAGAGAGAGGGAGAGAGAAATCTGGGCGGGAAAGCTGGCCCAGGCGCTAAGATCGCCCGTTGCTGTTGCAGA